TTTCCCTTTGTCTACCCACAACACACACCCTATGATGTAGGAGGGAATGAAAGAGCTCTTTGAGAACTGCCCTTGAAAGAACAGCTCTGAGAGAACTGCGACTTGCCTAAGGTCACCCAGCAGCTACATGCAGAGGAGTGGGGAATCAAACCCAGTTCTCCCAGATTAGAGTCCGCGCTCCTAACCACTAGACCAAACGGGTACATATTAGGTTCATTTTAGGTTTAAACAACCAATCTCCTTTTTGCAGATAAAACTTCCATAGAATATATACAAAGTTCCATATTTCAGATAAACTACATTTAGTTATTTAATATCTTAACCAAGGGTATCAAACATGTGGCCCGGGGGCCAGATCAGGCCCCTGGAGGGCTTCCATCAATCCCGCAGTGGAACTGGCCTTCTCCTGCTTCCAGTTCTGCTGCTGCATCATAGCTTGCTTCGCTAGACTCTTTTAATCACGCAGCCATTTCATTTTAACCGGGGTCCTAGACTCAGAACTCTGAGCATCAGATTTCTGTGGTGAATGTCAATAAATCAAAAGTAGGTTTGCAGCTTACAGAGCTAATGTTTTAAGCATGTTTTTATTGTAAGTAAAAAAACACCTTTGTGTTTGTGTCCTTGATAAAGTTTATATCTCCGCTACCTGGCATTACATTTTATGACACACATGGCCCGACCCAACAAGATCTCATTTATGTCAGATCTGGCCCTCATAACAAATGAGTTTGACACCTCTGATCTTAAGTCTCAGAAAAGAAAGACTGACATCCCTGTTTGGTTTGGGGTTTTTTTTTTATTCAAATGTGTTTTTGAAAATTTGCTATCTTTCCATTTTAACCAGAGAACACACACATGTTGTTTCTTCAAAAGACCCTGCCATTTAAATGTTTCAAAATATAACACCTCAAGGAACTTTCAGCTATCTGAATATGTACAAAGAACAACACAGCATGAAAAATGGAATTAAGGTGGATTTGTCAGTATTTTGTCATCCTTCACCGTATTTTACTGGGAAGTTTGTGTCATCATGAATTGTATTATTTCTTTATTTATTTCAACGTATAGCCCTTCCTCCTCCATATAACCAACCGTGTTCTGCAATGAAATTCTACCTCAGTTACACTTTTTTTGGAAGAATGGAAAGAGGAGACCTCTACATAATTTCCCCTTTTAAGACATTTTCTCCTGCAAAATGTGCCCAAAGTGCAGCCACTTACTGCTTACAGTTTTCTTTCAGTAAACAATAGAAAGCTGGTTGGACCACACACGTGCACACACAGCAACAAACAAACAAACAGAAGGGCAATATGATCAGAATATGAATACTGGAAATAATACCCATATCAGTGTGTCTTGGTAACACTGATAAATGGATCATTATGCCTGTGATTACACTGACATCAAAAGTCACTAACAAGGCACATGCGAGATGACACTCAGTGTT